AGTGGCCGAGTGCCCCTGGGTTCAATCCCCAGTACCCACCCCCCACCAAATCCTCTCTTCTAGCCATTTTGAAAAATGTAATAAATTATCATTTACCTTAGTCACCCTACTATGCTATATCTTTTATAACCATTAACCAAACTTTCTCTATTCCCCTTACTACATTTCCTAGCCTCTGGTAACCACTGTACCTCTCTCTGCTTCTGTGAGGTCCACCTTCTTAGCTTCCATATCTGAATGGCTTCTTTCACTTAACATAGCACCCTCACATTCTGTCCTTGTTGCTACAGTAATCGGATTCTTGTCTGCATATTTATTTTAATTTAAAATCCCTACTTCATGTATGTGCTAGATTTGTGCAGGTACTTCCCAGCCTATCTAAGGAACTCACAACTAAGTGTCAGCATCATTTGGTCTCCAGGCCCAGCCCTCTACAGTTTGTTCCTCTTCTTGCTTCATCTCCTGTGTGGATCTCTGGTTCTTTATATCTGGAGGACTGTGCTAACCATGGCCATACTACCACCTGTGACACCCTACCAGACCAGTTTCCTTCCAAAATTGACTTGTATTTTTAGCCCTCACCAGTTAGAACATAATTTTTATTCTTTAGATGTCATTCAAGAGGATCTTAAGAAGAAAGTAATCTGCTGACCTACATTCAGAAGATGCTGCCTTTTGTGTTGGGGATAGAATATTCAAGTCCCAAACTAAGGAAGCTAATAGAAAATATAATTAAGTAAATAGTAATTATAGGCCATGATAATGGGATGGATGGGGATGACAGATTGCTTTCCCCACCTCAGCGTTAGGATCTGTGAGCCTGTATGAAGAATGTGAATGTCAGACGTGAGGTGCTCTTGTGCCTCTCGGCCTCCTGCAGCTGCTCTTCTGGGAAATGAAGGGGAAGATTTGGTGCAGTCTGCCCCTGGGCTCCCCCTCCGTGCCTCTCCTATCCATCACGTCCCTTGGAGCACTTCAGGTGAACCTTCCTAAGCTCTTTTCAGCTTCCCCTGGCCGCTGACCTTCACTGTGTTGGCGTCCCCTCAGGTAGCTGCTCCTGTGACACAGGGCAATGGAAGCCTTCAGTGGGGAATGGGTCCACCTACTTCCTTGGGAACACAGAGGGACAGGGCCAGCTAAACACCTAGCTTCCTGTACCCAAGTCACTCTGTTAACTGCCTGGGCTGGCCTTTAACTCCTGGCTCAAGTGATCCTCTTGCCTCAGCCTCCTAGGGTAGCTGGGACTACAGGTGTGCACCAACACACCTGGCTATGTGAACTTTTAATATGAATCCAGGAGCAGTTGTTAAGACTAAGGAATAGTTGTTATTATTGCTCCCTGAGGTTAGAATAATTTTAAAAATTTCTTTAGAAAATTTGGAATTGCAACTTGTATGTACAATTATAATGGGAATTGGCTGAAGTTTTATGTATTATCTTCTAATATGGTGTAGTGGCAATGTGACACGTAACTATACATATTTATAGGGCACAATGTGTACCTTACATAACAACCACGGGGTAATTAGCATATCTGTTACCCCAAATATTTACCATTTCTTTACAGTAAGAACATTCAAAATCCCTTTTTCTAGCGATTTTGGAATATGTTATACATTGTTAACCATGATTATCCTATGTGAAGTAGAATAGTAGGACTTATTTCTCCTATCTAATTGTATCCTAGACTTCTTATACATTATTTGTGACTGTTCCAACATCCAGTAGTTTATTAGTAATAACAGGAAAATAACTGAATTCTTTTTTAGATTCTATTTTGGTTGGGACCCAAGAATCTGTACTTTTTTTTTTTTTTTTTGTACAGATGATGGAACCCACGGGGCACTTACCCACTGAGTAACATCCCCAGACCTTTTTTTTGTATTTTCTTTAGAGACTGGTTCTCACTGAATTGCCTAAGGGCTCTCTAAATGGCTGAGACTGGCTTTGAACTCGTGATGCCTGGGCCTCCTGAGCCACAGGGATTATAGGCATGCACCACTATGTCCAGCTAAGAATCTACTTTAAATATAGTGTTTATAGTCAGGTAGTTCAGTCATAAATTAGATTCAGCCATAAATTAATAATAATAACAAGCAAACTAGCAAGGTTTAAAACAGTCTTTAGAATGCATTTTGGAAAGCCCCAGAAGCAGGGCAGTTTCCCCAAGTATTATTTTATTTCACTTGTGCTATCATTAATGAGGGTTATGAGAACCTATATAGAAAGAGCTCTGGAGTCTTTAAAGTTCAGACTAGTTGTCTTTTCTTTATGCTATAAGAAGATAATCTATAATGCATCTGGGTAGAGTTTCAAGAGATGCTGCAGTAGCGAAGACAGCTGACAGTGGTCTGAAGATGTTTTCAGTCGAAGGAGGCAGTTGGCACACAAGGCCTGAGAGCCCTGAGCTGTCATCATCTGTAGTATATGAAATCACAGTCAAGAATTGTACTTCCCATAGTGTCAACAGACTGACAGCCCCTAGTTAAGAATTATTTCTGCCTCATGTAAAAGAAGTCCAGCTTAGTGGCTCCCCCAGAGAGAAGCTGACTTTCCCCACATCCTAAGTGCTCTGAGGCAGGCTGTGCACAGCTGGTGTGGGGCACCATCTGCCCTTCTGCTCCACCATCCTCAGGGCACCTGCATCCTCAACTACATGTTCCAAGGTGACGGCTTCAAGGGCAAGGGAATGATGGGATAAAAGTCACACCCCAGTGTGATACAGACTTAGAAATCCCCAGTAGACATCTTGTGTCTCGGTGGCTTCAGCTATGTTACCATTCTTCTCAAGAGAAACTGTCAAGTAGTTTTTAAGGTGAATATATTGCCTTCCCCCACTAATTGGGGGTTTACGCTTTAGGAGAAAGGAGAGAATGGATGTGGTATAATCAACTATTTGGAAATGATGTGTTCTGTAGTAGCCAGGCCTGAGATCTGCAGTACTCTTCTTAACTCTCTAATATCGCCATTAAAATGTGACTGCATGTGGACCTGTCCCCAGAGAATTCCTCTGGGCTCCTTTCAGTCTTCTTGCTGTGTGTTTTGATTTGATTCCCTTGACACTAATTAATAACTGACTCCTGGGCTAGGAAGGATATAGCTCAGTGGTAGAGTATTTGCCTAGCATGCATGAGGCCCTGGTGTTGCCAGTACCACAAAAAGAAAAGAAAAAAGACTGCCTTCTTTCTCAGAGATGTAATAATAACTTTCTTATTTTTTTTCACTTACTCATACAGATCCATTTTGGTCAGTGGATTTAGATCTTTGTTCACATTCCAGTAAATGTCCTTTTAAAACTTTTCATTTTGTAGCCTACTGTTGTGCTGCTACATTTTGACTGACATTTCTAAATTTTACACAGGTGATATTCTTGAATTTCATGGTTCAGAAGGAACAGGAAAAACAGAAATGCTTTATCATTTAACAGCACGATGTATACTTCCAAAGTCAGAAGGTGGACTGGAAGTAGAAGTCCTATTTATTGATACAGATTACCACTTTGACATGCTTCGACTTGTTACAATTCTTGAGCATAGACTATCCCAAAGCTCTGAAGAAATAATAAAATACTGCCTTGGAAGATTTTTTTTGGTATACTGTAATAGCAGCACCCAGTTACTGCTCACACTGTATTCACTAGAGACTATGATTTGCAGTCATCCCTCTCTCTGCCTTCTGATTATAGACAGCCTGTCAGCTTTTTACTGGGTGGACCGTGCCAATGGAGGAGAAAGTGTTAATTTACAGGAGTCTGCTCTGAAGAAATGTGCTCAGTTCCTAAAGAAACTGGTAAATGAGTATCACCTGGTTCTTTTTGCAACAACACAGAGCATCATGCAGAAAGCTTCACATTCTCCGGAAGGGCCTTCTGCCTCTAGTCGCCCATGTGATGCGGATACAGACTACAGACCTTATCTCTGTAAGGCATGGCAACAAGTGGTGAAGCACAGAATATTTTTCTTCAAACAAGATGATTCTAAAAGCAGCAACCAATTCTCATTAGTTTCCTGTCATTTAAAAAGTAACAGTTTAAAAAAACATATTTTTATCATTGGAGAAAGTGGGGTTGAGTTTTGTTGAGATGCATCATAAAATAGCCTTTTGTAAGCTACAGTGTAAGTCTTAAAAGGTCTTTTATAAGCTAATGTGATTTGATTCTAAAGTTTTAACCTCAGAGAAATAATTTCTTAAACTAGTACAGTACTTCAGACAATTCTGTTTCTAGGCCATTGAAGATCAAACAAAGTGACATTCACAATTAAATTGTTTTAAAACTAAAAAATATGCATATTTCAGAATAAAATGGACTTTTATAACTTTGTGTCACATTTTTTAAATTCATCTAGGTACTTAATTTGTTTGGCAAAGTTTAAATGCATTGCTCATATCTTATGTAACTCCATTATAAAGCTATGACTTTAGAAATTCTGTCATTAGAGCTACCTTATCATCTGCCTTCCATACTAAGAACTATGGAAGGCTGGAACATATTTTGTTATTATTAAGGTGGTGTCTTCCTATGTTGCCTGTGCTTGCAAGACTGGCATTGGACTTGGGATTTTCCTGCCTTAGCCTCCTCAGTAGCTGGGTGTACAGGTGAACACCTTAACACCTAGCCAACTAGAACATTCTCATCTGAGCTACATTGAATTCCCAGTGGACTTAGATAAGGTTGGGTTTCTGTTTTAATTCTTGAGTACTGGGAAATAAGATACCCATTCAAAGAACTCTTTGAAGTTTATTTTGAAATGTTTATCTCATTTTTATTAATAGATGTGAAAACTTATTTGTTAAAATAGTCAGATATAACCAGGTACAGTAGTTCACGCCTGTAAACCCATGACTGGGGAGGTAGAGGCAGGAGGATCTCGAGTTCAAAGCCAGCCTCAGGGCCTGGGGATGTGGCTCAAGCGGTAGCGCACTTGCCTGGCATGTGTGCGGCCCGGGTTCGATCCTCAGCACCACATACAAACAAAGATGTTGTGTCCGCCCATAACTAAAAAATAAATATTAAAAAAAAAAAACAACAAAGCCAGCCTCAGCAACTTAGCAAGGCCTTAAGCAACTCAGTCAGACCCTGTCTCTAAATAAAATGCAATTGAATCATTTCCAGTTAACAGCTGGAGAAGGTTTTAGTATTCTTTGGTGCAATGAAGGTGGAATAAGGATATGCAAGACAAACTGTGGCGGAAGACAATTCAAGGGATTCAGTTTATTTTAATCCAAGAATAGATCTAATTATACCAGTATTTGTTATTAGATTGACCATTGTGGTCTCCTTGGATCTATATGCCAGAATGAGATGTGTTGCAAAGGTATCTGAATTATTCTAGGGAAAATGGGAGGGATCAATGCTATGTTCTTGTACATCCATTTATGTGTTACGTGTTACTTGTTCAGTTACAATAATTTATAATACTTAACTGTAAGTTCACTTATCAAATGAAGGTTGGTTTTTTTTTTCCCAGAATTGAAAAGAATACTGCAAAAAAAAAAAAAATGAAGATCACATTTTTTATAGTGCATACCTGGCCAATGTAACATGCTACCTGTGTCCCATCCCCATGCTCTGGGACACCTGCTGTTTCCAAAACCCCAGGGCTTCTGGGAGTGTCTTCTGGATGCCAAAGACTGCTGGGCTGCATGTGAGCAGCACAGACAGACTTTAACCAGTGAAGGGGAGGATTCGGGGTATAAACACCCAACTTCCACAGCACTTGGGAATTTCTCAGGGTGGCTGCAGTTGGCTGGACTCCCAGTTGCTTACAGCAGTAATCACAAACGTGGTTTATCACCATCCTCTCTTCCCTCTCTCACTTCCCTCCCTTCTCAGGGGCTTCATGGGATTGTATCCCTCATCAGTAAGAAATGCTCATCTGGAAACTCCTGCTGGTGACGGGGAGCTAGACTTTCAGCAAACAGTAACAAGTTGTCAGACTAACAGCCTTCTCCAGCATTTGCCCTTCAGCCACATTATGAAATTGAAAACAAGGGCAGTCTAATTGTCACTCAAGCTAAATGACGTTGGATCACATGGTTCACATCCACAGGTTCTTATTGTTACTTTTTACCATTGGTATAACTTTAAACATGATATTTTGCCTATAGTTTGTCCTTTTTCCATTTCTGATACATATTTTTATTACATGCAAAACATGTTACACAGTAACTTATAAATATTTATAAGTTGGGGTCATAGACTTGTTTTCTCCCCAGGTCGATGAGTGCGATCAGTGAAATCTATTGCTCTACTATAGAGTAGTATTTTTTTACTCATAAAAGATAAAAATTTAGTCACCTTCCTATCACTCTCTATAGTCTGGCATGGTGCGTGTGTATGAGAGAAAGACCAGTATATATGAAAAACTTAGCACGTTCTTAGCAGAATTCTAGCCTTCAATATAATAGGATTTTCCATTTATTTCATATATAAATGAAGTGATAATTTAATGGACCATTGTTCACAGATTTATAACTTATTCTTCAGGAACATGATTAAAAGATAATGAACTTTTGTATTAAATCATCAGTTGTATATTAATGTGTCATATGAAAGACCTAGTTATCTTACAAAGATTTGCTTTTTTACCTGATGGAAGGAATTAAGAATACTGGTTAATAAAAAATTCTTTTAAACTAGAAGTTATACTAATGGACTTTGTGAAGACTGTAGAAATGCTATTTGTAAAAAGAATCAGGCTTAAGAGAAAGAGAAATGACATATTGTAAATTATGTGGAGAGCAAATACTGGGATCCTGGATACAACCCAAAGAATAATGGAAACAAGTGGGCAAGAGGTTGTAAGTCTTGAATATTTATTGCACTTATTTATCCTATTTACCTGTCCCCACTTCTCCTGCCAAATTGAGGGAATCCTAAAATAGGATATTTTTAATACTTTAAATAAAAGTACTATGAGAAGTTTTTATAAACAAACCTTTCTTAGGGTTGGTGTAAGAGGCTGGTAAAGACAGTGTATGGGAAAGATGGTTCAGACATTCATAACTGCTGTAGAAAATTAAGAAGGTGTTTACCACTTCACTTCAAATGTAAAAAGCTCTCAGCTTTCAAATACAAAGTACTGTATTATAAATAATGAAAACTTTTGATGCAGACTGCTGTATGGATTATCTAAGATGAGGGTAAGAGACATTTTCAGATGAGCACAAACAAAATATATCACCAAAATTGCCTCACTAAGGAATTTGTGAAAGAATACTTCACAGGAGAATTATCCCAGAAACTGTCTGAGATGTTCGAAATATTGGTGAGTAAAGTAAATGGAAATCACTTGAAAAAAATCTAAAGAAACATTGATAGCATAAAATTATAATGTCTAATTTGTGGGAAGAAAAAACAAAAATTCAAGGTAATCTATCGCCTGTAAGCCTAGAGCATGTAATTTTAGGTAATTAAATTGTTTAACCTAAAAATCTTTTTCTGAGGAAAGTGAAATGTGGACCAACTTTCAACACACACACACACACACCTTATTAAAAATATTTTCTGTTACTAGTGATTGAACCCAGGATCACTCTACAACTGAGCTAGGACCCTGGACCTTTTGATTTATTGATAGATTGATTGACTGGTGCTGGGGATTGAACCCAGGGGCACTCAACCACTGAGCCACATCCCCAGTCCTTTGTTATATTTTATTTAGAGACAGGGTCTCACTGAGTTGCTTAGGTTCTCACTAAGTTGCCGAGGCTTGTTTTGAACTCACAGTCCTCCTGCCTTGGCCTCCTGAGCTGCTGGGATTCCAGGCATGGGCCACTGCACCCGGCCTGATTTATTTATTTCTAATTTTTGCCGCATGGTCTTCCTGACAGCTTAGCCTTGATTAATTATGAACTTGAGAATTTGAAGGGCTGCCTTTAAAAGAAGCAATATATGTTCCAGTAACATACTGAGGAAACAAAAAAGAACTGAGAAAAATAATGAACAAATGCACTGAAGAAAAGGTAGTTATAACTAGCACAAAGTAATATATGTAGAAACCAATCCAGTTGTAAAGGACTGAGCTCTTTCACAAAAATCCTTGGGTCTTTAAAGTAGGTTTTAGCAGTCCTCTTAGCTTAAAAAAATAATGACTTCTAAACAAAAGATAACAGATGTTAAAATAAAAAAAAGTTTAAGATACTAGAAAAATATCTTTATCCAAAGGAAGCGATTGTAGTTGTATAAATAAATTTTAACTGTAGTAACAGCTTAATTTTCCATTTTAAAGATCATTACAAATGGCAGAAGGTTTGATTCATCATTTAAGATACCTTCAAAAATAAAAGCTAGAGCCAGGTGTAGTGGCTGTATCCCAGCCACTCAGGAGACTGAGGAAGGACAATTGCAAATTCAAGGTCAGACTGGGCAATTTAGAGAGACTCTGTCTCAAATTAAAAGGAACTTGGAAACAATTTTTTTAAAAAGAGATTTGCTTTAAAAAAATGATCAGACAATTGGGAATGTAGATCAGAGAGGTATGATGCCTTTGGTTCAATCCCCATTACAGGGGTGGGAGTGGGGTGGGCGGAGAAGAACCGTAATTAGAAGTTAATAAAGTTCCATCACTGTAGAAATTTTATTATACTTTTTGTACTCAGAAGTCCATGCAGTTAAAAATTGGTCAAGGGCAGAATCTAAACATACATAAAATTAAAATTGATCTGCTAGATGCAATGACCCATGCCCACAAATTCAAGATTAGCCCAAGCCATTTAGTAATAACTTATCTCAAAATCCTAGATTTAATCCCCAGTACAGGGCAGAGGGGACTTGATCTAATGAACATGTGTAGAATTCTGCATACAGAATAAGAATGTATGTTCTTTTAAACATCAAAGGGAGATTTATGAAAACTGATTCCATATCAGTGCTGTAAGAAAACATCAAATTTAAAAGAGTATCGTGGAGACCCTTTTTCTTGATCACAAAGCCATTGTCAGAAGTCAGTAACAAAGACTCCAAATTTAGAAAAAATTTAAGTGGGGGCTGATAGCACATGTCTGTAATCCAGCAGTTTAGGAAGCTGAAGCAGGAGTGTTAAAAAGTTCAAGACTGGCCAGGCCAACTTAACTGTGATCCTGTCTCAAGATAAAATTGAAAAGGGTACAGGGATGTACCTCAGTGGTAGAGTGCTTGCCTAGCACATGCGAAGCCCTTAGTTCAGTTCCCACTATAAAAAGAAGAATGGGCTGGGGTTGTGGCTCAGCAGTAGAGCACTCGCCCAGCACATGCGAGGTCCTGGGTTCGATCCTCAGCACTACATAAAAATTAAAATATTGTGTCCATCTACAACTAAAAATAAAATATTTTTTAAAAAGAAGAAGAAAATTGTGATTTCTCCCTAATAGGCTGATTGGTAAAATAAGAAAAAAAAATCAAAATTACAAAGTATAAGTGATGCTGGGGACTGACATTACAATACCTGATCTCAAATTTTACTACAAAACTATAGTAACGAAAACAGCATGGTATTGCCATAAAAGCAGACATGAAAACCAATGGAATAGAATAGAAAACAGACAAATCCATATAGATATAGGCATCTGATACTCAATAAAGGTGCCAAAAACATATGTTGGAGAAAAGACAGCCTTTTAAACAAGTGGAGCTGGAAAACTGGGTATCCATATGTGGAAGAATGAAACTAGATCCTTGTTTCTCACCCTGCACAAAAGTCAAAGTGGATCCAAGACCTTGGAATTAGACCAGAAACTTTGTAATTGCTAGAAGAAAACAAGGTCAACATTCCAACAGGAGCCAACTTTCTTAACAAGACCCCTAAAGCTCAAGAAAAGAATCAGTATGTGGGATGATTTCAAATTAAAAACTTATGCACAGTAAAGGAAACAGTTAAGAACATGAAGAGAGAACCTACAAAACAGGAGAAAATGTTTGTCAGCCATTCTTCCAATGGATTAATATCTAGAATACATAGAGAATTTAAAAAACTTAATTCCAAATAACCCAATCAATAAATGGGCAAATGCTGATACTTGCACAGCTGAACCTTAAAGACCGGTGAAGAGCTATGGGGATTAAGACAGACATGCAAAGATTTACATAGAGAAAGCTAGGACTAGGTGGGACGCCTACCTCTGATGGAGGAACAGTGACCCAGAGCCAGCACAGCACATCTATTCTACAGGTTTTAGGTTGCAGTGCCTCAAGGTATTGTGGTTATCTTTCTCATTCCAAGGCAGCTTTTGTCTGAGCTCAAGGCCAAGTCTCCTATAGTTCCCAGCATTTGAACAGAACTTCCTCAGCAGGGCATTACCATAGCTCTTGAGCAATCTTGTCCTGCAACTTTGCACAGAAAGTTCCCAGGGCAAAGTGCAGCCACAGCTCTGCAGCAGTCATTGACCATGGTCTAAGTCGCCCCTCTCCACAGGCAAATGAACTAAACAGACATTTCTTTTTCTTTCTTTCTTTTCTTTTCTTTTTTCTAACATTTTTAAAGTTATATATGGACACAGTATCTTTATTTTCTTTATTTATTTTTATATGGTGCTGAGGTTCGAACTCAGTGCCTCACATGTGCAAGGTAAGCACTCCACCACTAAGCCACAACTCCAGCCCCTAAACAGACATTTCTTAAAAGGAAATGCAAAGGGACAACATATATATGAGAAAATGAAGTTTAAAGCCAGCCTTAGCAATCAGGGAAATGCAAACCAAAACATGGATTTTTATCTCACCCCATTTAGAAGGGCAGGCATCAAGAATACAAGTAAGTTATGGAGAGGATGTGGGAAAAGGTACAATTGTGCATGGTTGGTGGCACTGCAAATTAGTACTATCATTTTGGAAAGCAATGTGGAGATTCCTCAAAAGACTGGAATGAGACCACTGTGTGACCCAGCTGTCCAGCTCCTTGGTATTTACCCAACAGAATTAAAATCATGCTGTAGTGATACATGCATACCCATGTTTACAGCAGCGCAATTCACAACAGCCAGGTAAAGGAACCAGCTTAGGTATCCACCAGTAGATAACTGGATAAAGAAAATGTGGCACATACTCATACACAATGGAGTTTTATCAGCCATAAACAATGAAATCATGCCAGGTGCAGTGAGTGGCGCATGCCTGTAATCCTAGTGGCTTGGTAGGCTGAGGCAGGAGGAATGCAAGTTTAAAGCCAGCCTCAGCAAAGGTGAGGTCTTAGCAATTCAGTGAGACCCTGTCTCCAAATAAAATTCAAAATAGGGCTGGGGATGTGGCTCAGTGGTTGAGTGCCCCTGGGTTCAATCTCTGGTACCAAAAAAAAAAAAAAAGAATAAAACTGGCATTTGCTGGTAATTGGATAGAACTATAGAACATCATGCTCAGTGAAATAAGAAAGTCAACGGTCAAATTTCTTATGTGAAAGCGAGAGAGAAATAAAGAATTTTTAAAAATATGTATATGGAGGAGGAATCTCATGAAAATAGAAGGGAGAAGAATGGGGTCAAGGAAAGGTATCTAAGTGGAGAGAGGAGAGATGTGAAAGGGGGAGGAACAGTAGAATGAAAGTGACCACTCTATATTATGTGCAGTGTGATATGAGTATACATCACAGTGAGTTCCATTTATATGTATAACAATAGTGCACTAATTAAAATAATAAGGAGGGGAGAGAAGGGGAAGGAGGGAAAGGAAGGACAGCAGAATAAAATAGACATTATTGCTGTGTGTATATACGTGACTGCATGACCAATGTGATTCTGCAACCTGTACACTCAGAAAAATGAGAAATTATACCCCATCTGATTCAAATGTATGATATGTCAAGATCATTGTACTGTCATGTGTATCTAATTAAAACAACAAATAATAATAATAACAAGATCAGTAGAGCAGAGGAAGAGGATTGTGGGGAAAAGGACAGTACTCGGGACTAAATGGAGTATATTAAGTTACGCCTATATATGAAAATGTTAACCCACAATCATGAATAACTATTATGTTCTAATGAAAATAAAAAGACACAACAAAGGACATAGGAGGATATAGAGTAGAAATAATGAAGTAGAAACCCAAAAAAGAGCAACAAAGCCAAATTCCATTCTATTAAAGTATTATTGAGAAAGCATTCAAACAAATGGTCGTAGGAATGAGTAGGAAAGCAGGTTTCTTACTAAAACTATCTCCAAAAATAAAAGCACTGAACAATAACTACAGGACTTGGATTGGCAGCTTGAACTCTCCCCACAGACATTTAGGGAGACTTACAATTCACTTCTAAGGATAGTTGAATATGTGGTTTGGTCAGAGTCACCAAAATGAAGGGAAGAAAACATTAAATCACAATGTGTTTGTATTGAAAGCCTTAGGGACCCTGGGACCCAAGGAGTGGGACAGCTGCTACTGAGCTGCTGGTCCTCATCAGCCCTGGAAAGCTCTTGGGCCACCGCCCAGGGTCACTGGGACCCTGAGTGGTGGTGCCTTGGGGTCCAGGGCTGTGTTGAGGTAAGCGGCCCCTGTACCGACTGCGGCTCTGGAGGTGTAACTCAGTGGTGGAGTCATTGCCTGGCATGTGTAATGCCCTGGGTTCAATGCCAGTACCCCCCCAAAATTTTAAAAATTGTAAAAGTTGAGGAGACAGAAATGAAACAGAATGGCAAAATGCTGATAAGTCTTGGGCTGGGGCTGGGGCTCAGCAGTAGAGCACTCACCTAGCATGTGTGAGGCCCTGGGTTTGATCCTCAGCACCACATTAAAAAAAATAGATGATATTGTGTCCAACTAAAAAATAAATATTAAAAAAACTACTGATAAGTCTTAAATTTGGGTAATACTAAGATTATCTCAAATTTTTAGGGCACCCAAATCCTTACAAAGAAAGATCCTCTCATGAGGATGCTGAGGCCTCAAATTATTTTCAAAAAATGAATTTTCCAGTGCAGTGCTAGGACTAGACTCGTAAGTTAACATGACACATGAGAAGACGAGTCTCTCTGAGAAGATGCAGGCACAAATGACCCTCAACACACCACCAGAACACGGCCAGAGCAACGGTTTAGGACAGCGGTAGTTGGAGTTCATGTTCTGTGGTCCTTGCGTTCTCTGAGGAAAGGAAAGGGCACCACAACATTAGACACCAGGAGGATTGCATCTTGTGACTTCAGGATGACATTTTAGGACAAAGGGATAATGATCAGATTTTTTTTTTTAATTAAAAAAGAAGAAAAAAAGCCAGGTACAGGGGCACACACCTGTAATCCCAGACTACCTGGGAGACTGAAGCATGAGGGTCACAAATTTGAGGCTAGCCTGGGCAATTTAGCAAGATCTTGTCTCCTAAATACAAAGGATGTAGCTCAGTGGTGGAGCACCCCAGGGTTCAATCCTCAGTTTTACAAAGAAACAAGAACAACAACAACAAAAAAGGGGGCATGGGAAAGGAGGTAGCATAGTTGCCTTAGTCCCTCTTGCTGCATCCTCCCATTGTAGAAGGCAGAAAGGCAAGAGAATGAACAAAGGTACAAAGGTGAACTTGGTTTCATAAGAAACTCAATCCTGCAAAAACACCGTCAATCCATTGGTGAGGTCTCCCCTCTGCTGCTGTTGCCTTGGGGAGATGTTTCCAACAGGCATTTTGGGCAACATGTTCAAACTATGACAATAATATAACAGGACAAATTGAAAAGACATTAAAAGATGTATATCTAAGCTGATTGTACCAATAATTACATTATATGTAAGTGGCTGAGTATGCCAGTTAAAATGAAAAATTTAGATTAGACTTTAAACATACGTGTTTGTATTCACTATTTTTAAATAATAACTTTTATTTTTCCTTTGCATATGTATTTCCCACTTATTTGCTATTTTAAAGAGACATCTAGACATAAGAATACAGGAAACTTGACATTAAAGGAATGGAAATGATTCTCCATGCAACATTAATCAAGGCTGTTTATCTGCAGTAAGGTCAAACAAAAGACACTGAGGCAAGAAACGTTACAAGAGGTGAAATTAAAATATAAGATGGACCAAACTTTCCATTCTCCATTCTCCAAGCTGTAAAGTTCACAGGATGTAAAAGGGGAACAGATCAATTCAGAATGATGGTGGTGGATCCTGACTCCTCTGAGCAACTAGTAAGCCTCACCGCACAGAAGATGAGCAGCATGGACCAGCACACCCACCAGTCATGTTCAGGGCACATTATTTAAAGCTTGCCACCATCCAGGAAGGGTTACCGTGGCCACTTGGAGCACATCACTTGAGACTGGTCTCCATGTACCCACACAGACATTGTTTTGGAGATAGTATTTTGGCTTTTTGTTCTGCTGTTTGTTTTTCCTTATTGTAGGTACTGTTTTTTACTTGCCATGTTTACTTAACAGTGTATTTGTGGATATCTTCCCACAGCAATTGATAAATTGTCCTAACCTCTTTGAAACTCAATGTGCCACTGTTTGCTTATCACCCCTCGAGCGGACATTTAGGTTGTTTATGTTTTTCTAAGACCTTACACATAGCTTAGTAGTAACTCCAATAACTCTTTAGGTAACGGAAAAGCTGTTTCATGGGAAAAGGATGTTTCCTTTTTTTCAGTTTTCAGTATAGTAATATGTACTACTAAAGGCTATAGAAAAACAATAATAAAGGCAGGGCTTTGGACCATCATTGGATCTGCAGAACTCAATTCTTGCTCTTTTAATTTGTATGAACGAATGACTACATTTTTGCCTAGTCTGACAAAACTCATAATTTTTAAATTCGAATTCTCCCTGCAATGAGTGTCTTGATCATACATGTATTAGCATTTGAGTAACATAAGACTCAGATTTCATTCTGTGATGGGAATTGCAAGGTGGTATGACTCATGTGAATGCCAACAGAGTATTCAAAATTTAGGAAATTTGCCTCTGATCTATGTAGATATGTCTAAATTAGAAATACAGGTTAATATTTGGAGTATTCTTAGCCCAATGTATTATATTTCCTCATATCTGAAGTCTTAACTTGACATGCATTAACCTATACAACTTTAAATATTTGCAAAATTATATTTTATATGAGCCTGTAATAAATGACCATATTACAATTCAGAAGCTGAAAAGCATAGTGAGAGTTGCTATGGGAACCTTAATGTGATATTCCCTTGCTTTCATTTAAATTTCATTTTTAATATTGCATTAACATTTTTGCATTTAATAGATAGATATTTGAATTAATATTGAAGTGCTCTCTCTAATATAAATAAAATATTAGAAATGAAAATGTGATTTTTCTTTCAAGAAATAAATGAACGTATAACCCAAGATCTTGTAGAAATAACAGCACTTGAATTTTAATTTATTGGATTCCATTCAGTTATTTTGAAGTTTCTTAAAGGATTCCTTTTGAAAGATTAAGAAATATTTGTGGATGGTCACATAATTCATGTCATAATATTTCAAACCATGCAGAATTTCCTGAAGCCTGCTTGGGAGCTTATCGTTAGTTATTCTGTATTCTGACTAGACGACCTCGAAGGCCTCTCCCCTGCTTTCAGTCCTTGATGGTGTGGTCCTCACCCACAGGTGGTGAGCTTAATCTCACTTGAAGCAGTGGTATTGCCAGGTACAGGCTTGGCTGTTCCAATCCATCATGTGAACGCTCAGTTGAGATAAGTGATAGGGTAGTGTGCTTTCCTGACTATACAAAGTATTCTTTGTATAGTATTCTATACAAAGAATAGAGCACTGGAAAATTTTAGAAAATGTAGAAAATTTATGGACACAATTCGTGACTGGAAGAAGCTCTTGGTGTCAGCAGACTTCAGTTTTGATACTCAACAGTGATTAGGGCTGTGACTGTGCGCAAAGTCATTTAATCTCTTATGTATAAAACAGAGACTAAATCAAGACCACTTGGTTCTTTTCTTTCTTTCTTTTTAAATATTTTTTTCACTGTAGTTGGACACAATACCTTTATTTTATTTATTTATTTTTATGTGGTGCTGAGGATTGAACCCAGGACCTCCCGTGTGCTAGGTGAGCACTCTACTGCTGAGCCACAGCCCCCGCCCCCACTTGGTTCTTTTTTACTCACATACCCCTAAAGGAAATCTGGAAAATTACATATCCCCTCATGCCCTTTGACTTTTTCAAAATTATTTTTCATAAGCCTAAGACACGGCAAAGAATTTAATTTTGGTCATATTAACATTTTTAGTATTTACTTAATTTATCCACTAAAATCTACATATCACAGCAATTTTATACCTATCATCATTCATTTTTAAAGATGCAAAAGTAAAGCTTGGCGATTCTATCTATGTGGGGTAGTCAGATTCAGAGTCAGGCAGTGGGAGAAGGGTGATTGCTGGAGGCAGGGGAGAGGCAGATAGGGAGTTGTCTCATGAGTGTATTTTCAGTTTTGCAAGATGAAAAGATTCTGAGATTGAGTGCACAACTTAAAATGTTTAACATGGTAAATGCTATGTGTAATCAGAATCTTTAAAAATTGAAAGCAAATTTTAAAACTAAAGCTTATATTGAACAGTTAGAATTTTCACATTATGCCTAGTTTTGTTATTTTGTTAGTTTATATAAAATCTATTCTCCTTCCTCCCCCCCGAATTTTAATCTAATCTAATCTAGTTTTTGTACTTGACAGTATTTTGTTGACTTAGCTGGCTTGATTACATGTCTCTGCAACACATATATGTAGATAAACTTAGATTGGAGACAGTTTTCTCCTGTGATCTCAAGACTCCAAATATGGAGAAATTTTGTTAATTTTAAGTTATTGGTAGAACATGACCAAAACAACTTTGCTATTTTAAATATTGATAAAAATAGGTAACAAAGTGAAGTACGTTGGAAATGTAATTCTTTATAATATCTATAAATTGCCTAAATATACTAAGTACATAGTAGAACTGACTAAATGAACAGGACTAGTTGATTAATTATATCAGGAAGGACACTTGCCCCTGTTTGCAAATAAATATGAGGAGTTGGGAGTGGAACAAGTGATAGAGCACATGCTTAGCATTCATGAAGCCCTGGGTTCAAGCCCAGGTCCAAAATCATTCATTGTTGGGGACCGCAAATCAAGTCAGGATGGCACCTGGCAGTTTTTCAGGAGGGGTGGTTTGTAAGGCAATGCCACCGAGCCACTAAGATGGTGGGGATTCCTTATTTGGCTGATTGCTGTAACTGGATGATGCTAATTGAGTCAAGCTGTGTTAGGTATATATACATCATATATATATAACTGATGTGTAACATCAGTTAGGTATATATACCTCTGCTGTCCCGCAATAAAGTGGCTCCTGCTACCTTGGGTGCCTGCGACCTTGAGTTCCTGCTGAGTTTCCCCACAATAAAGCAGTTCCCGATTCAACCTTCAAGTTGCTTGTCACCTCCCGGTTATTGTGCCCAGCCGGACTGCAGCAGCTTTTGTTAGCATAAACAAGCCCCTTCCTCTACTGTTTTCTCTTTGTTTTCTGCTATACAAAGTCTAATCTGGGACAGAAAATATCCATTCTTTATAGGACATATCAGGGCACATACACGATTGCCTGGAGCCCTTAGTTTGGGCAATATTTAGCAGATAAAGCTACACATGACATACATGTTTTTTCTGTACTAGAAGAATCTACAAATTTTCACAAATCCTTCCATGTCAATGCTAATACTTTACAAAAGCGTTTTAGAATAACTAAGGAACAAGCTAGACATATAATAAAACAATGTCAAAATTGTGTGACCTTTTTACCACAAGTTAATCTTGGAATCAATCCTAGAGGACTGATATCTAATCATATCTGGCAAATGGATGTCATACATTTGCCAGAATTTGGAAAATTAAAATATTTGCATGTTACAGTTGATACTTCTGGATTTTTGATGGGCTCCCTTCATGCTGGAGAAAAAACTAAAGATATTATATCTCATTGTTTACAAAATTTTGCCACTGTGGCTATTCCAAAACAGTTAAAAACAGATAATGGCCCTGGCTATACTTCTGCTTCTTTTAAACAATTTTGCTCATTATTTGGCATTACTCATATAACAGGAATCCCATATAATCCACGGGGACAAGGCATAGTTGAAAGAGCCCATCAAACTATTAAAATGTATTTACTAAAACAAAAAGGGAATTGGGAAGGGCTATAAATCCCCAAAGATAAACTTAACATAACCCTTTTTACTTTAAACTTTTTAAATTTGGATTCATCAGGGCTTAGTGCAGAAAGGCACATGTGTCCAAAAAATGTACATAAGCCAAAGGTACTTTGGAAGGATATTCTAACTGGACAATGGAAAGGTCCTGACCCAGTGATTGTCTGGAGTTGGGGTTCTGTTTGTGTGTTTCCACAGGGAGAACAGCAGCTGATTTGGATTCCAGAGAGACTAACTAAAGCGATTTCTACAGACCAAAAAGAAGATGATTTGGCCCAAATCCATAACAGCTGATATCCAGAACTCCAGTTTAGCTATCCTTACATCTGTGACAATGGTTCTTCCACAACTAGAGGCTAATGAATAATGAGCACCATTAAGGCCTATTTCAAATGTAAAAAACCTTGAGGCTTCAAACCCATATGCAAGTTACAAGAAGAAGGATGGGATATCAAAAGAAGAGTCAAGCCCAGTTGGTAGCCAGGATGCTTTTTTTCTATTTTATTTTTTGAGCTCATACAGACCTAGGTTAATGTTTTTCTGATCAGTTTTATTTTTTTTTTATTAACTATGGAATTTTTAAACATTGCAATGGAGATTTCACCTGTGAAAAGCCACAAGGCCTCTACTATTGTGTAATGTGTGCACACTTGTGTTATGTGTTGTATGTCTGTATGTGGTGTGTGTCCATGTATCATATATGAGGAGTGCTCATGAAAAAATGGATCCAAATATTTTTTATTCACGTGATTTAAACAGTTTAATTTAAATTGGGTATTGTTTTAAAAAGTGAACAAAAAAGGAGGTTAACAGATCTGTTTACTTTCACCTTTCCTTTCCATTATATCTAATAGTTTTGTTCAGGATATGTACTAAATTATTCAGAAAATTGTTTTCTTAGTGCCTGCTGGAATGCTATACAATTTTCTTTAGCCATTATTGCCAGAATTCCTACCTTTAGATAAAAAAAGAAGAATTTCTAGTATTACTGAAAAAACAAATGAGACTTCGGAATTACAGCTACGATCATCACAGCTGTTGCTATTTCTACTGTTGCTGTTGCAACTTCTGCGATAGCTATCACACAAACTGTACAACCTGGACTGTGTATCACTTCTATGCATTATGAATCTATTGAGAAAACAAATTGTAACTCTTAATAGTACCAGGGTATCTTTGCTGATGGTGTCATCAGTGGTACAGTTTTTCCAGGGGTTTCTCCCTTGGAGTCATCATTGGCTTGGAATTGTAGCCTTTTGTATCCTCCTCCTTCTGCTTGTGGCAGGTTGTTTATGGTGTTTGTGTAAAAACCACTATGGTCATTATCCACAAGTATGGCTAAATATGTTGGGCCAGTAGTCAAAGATGGGTAAGATCCAATTACAGTGGTACCAACCTAAGCCAGGAGGCTGACGATTTGAGGTCAGACCATCCGATGATGGGTAAGGACTATATGTAGTATTGGACAACCTAAAACAGGCACGGTTCCTAAACCACATACGTGTTGTT